CTGAACCAACGTGGCCTGAGCATGGACCAGAGTACCTTGGTGCTCAGTATTGTATAAACACAAAGCAGAAAACCAATTCTTGTCCATAAAAGCTAACAATCTAAGCATAAAACAGGGCATAGAAGATGCTTACAGATGGCCTGGGGACATGGGGAACCTGGACACCATGCTGGGCAGTGGGTCTCAGCAGCTTAGCCATCATCCAGGATTTTTGTAGGTGCTCCAGAAAAGGCAAGTGTTTTGAAGAGCACTGGAGAAGGAAAATATAGTTTTCCAGGTGCTTACAGGGAAGTCCTCACCAGTGTAAGGGGCAGTGTGGGAAAGAAGTCACAAAAGTTCAGTTTTCAGGTATGTACAAGTGAGTGATGGAGGCTGGTATCAGGCGATCCAGTACTTGTCACTTAACTGTCTTGGTTTCTAGCTGTTTCTGTGCAACCTTCATTAGTAAAATAATCTCAATTTACTGCAACTTTCTGGAGCTGCCTTTGCTTTTTTTTTTAAACAAACACAAATGGTAGAAAAATCCTTTAACATTGAAGTGTTTGTTAACCAGCTTCACACCCCTGGCCTGTACTCTGAGCTTGAGCAAGACTCCAAGAAGGCCCCTTTTGCTGCTCCCCTACCAGAAAATGGTTTACAGGCTGCCCCAAAAGCCTGGATCAATCCTTAGCTGGTGCCAAGTTGTGCTGGCTCTAGGCCACCCCTTCCTTTCCTTTCAGAACAGGGACCTGGCCAGGTAAAAGCTGGCATGGATGAAACATCCTCTCCCTCCTAATCCCCAGCCAACATAATGGCCCTCGAGGGACGGTTATAAACTACAGTAATTGAAAGTAGCATTTAGCTCATTTAAGATTAGACTAGAGGCCAATGCAGGTCCAGCTGCCCCCCTCTGGAGACTGCAAAGCACATCCTTGCTACTTGCACTCCTCAACTCACCCTCCCTGCTCCAGCCCAGCAGAGCTGGCCAGAGCTGAATATCAGGGTCAAGCTGTGCTCAACTCAGGGGCTCCTACAGTATCTTACCTTCGTGAGTGCCTGCTTTCACACGTGGAACTGGGCAGGGTTTGTGTAGTTCCCTGCTTCCTTTTGCACACATCATAACCAATCAGGCCTTCTTTGGAGTCAGGTCTATTTCAGGGTCTCTGCTACTTGCTCACTACCTTGCCTTTGTCTGTGAATTTTCCATTCAACAGACATTGAGATGCCAGAATGGCATGTGAGCCCAAGTATGCATGCCAGCAGCTTGGTGCCCTTACACTTAGTGTGCAAAGATCACCAGGAAGCACAATCACTATTTAAATATTACCATGCATGCCCAGCTGCCATTTTCAAATTCTCATCGTTTTGCCAAATCCAAGCCAAACATAATCCAGACATCACTAACTCCTTGCCAAGTTCCAGCTACTTATCCACACCTAACTTAACATGAGGGCTGTTAAAAAAAAAAGCTTTCTTTAAAAATGGTAAAAGGACTGAAGCTCTGGCACCTGGATTTTAACTTAAAGCATCCTGGTAACACAGACTTTTAGCACATCCTGAAATGTCTCAGTCCTGATCTGCCTCCTGAGAGTCAAGATGGCAGCTTCCTGCCCGATTGTTAATTATTGGTGTTAATTATATTTCAGGCACTTTAACAACTTTAGAGACTTACACTTCTTTGCCATTAAATGCCATAATTAGAGTATCTTTTACATTACACTGCAGTTTTCTACTGACCCAAAGGGACAAGCAGCAAAGTTTAATTAAAATAAATTTAAGTGTGATTGGAGCATCTATTTAAAAAAAAAAAAAAAGGAGAGAGAGAGAGACTGATGGGACTGATGACAAAGCAAGCAGCAGGTTGGATGTGACTTTGGAGAGAGAGAGAGAGAGAGAATGAAGCTGTACAGAGATAGCAATGCCCGACAGGGCTGCCAGGAGCCTTTAAGAAGAAAGAAATTTCCAAAAAAACCAGAGTTAGCCACACAAAGGCAGCCAACCTCATGGCTTCTCAGGTGATCCTGAGCAGCTTGTACAAAACCTAAGCCACCTCAGATCCTGCCTCTCCAAAGAAATGACAGATCTTTGTTCACTCTTGTTTTCACAAACACACACTAGAAAGGACTAAGATGGACTTTGGCACTGACTACGGGCTTGATCAGTGGAGGTGTTCGGCACCAACCAAGTGCCTGAGATCCCTCACTGCTTAGCTGGTATCCAGCACCACTCAGGAACGGCCCTAAATAAGGGGATGAGTTTGTGCTGTTGCTGTGCCAGGAAATCCAAATGGTCATCAACCCATCTCTGAAAAGCACAAACAAGTCCCTGGAGATTAGAACAGCTGCTGAATTTATGGCACCCTGGGAACCTCTATTTGTCAAGTGCCAGAGAGGCAGCCCTGACACTGGCACAGGTGAAGATGAATTTTCATTCAGCACAGTTCGCCTTCCGACTCCATTAATCCTCTGGGTTTTGATGATGAATTTCATTTTTTTTTTATTTATTTTCACTACAGCATCCTCTCCCACAGCACCGAGAGTACAGAACAGATGGTGCTTTACAAGGATGACAGAGCACCCATGAGGATACAGAGCCTGCCCACTCTGAAGTCACGTGCCTGCAATGGCTAGGAGAAGCCTTGATTTCCTCTGGGAGATACAGAGGCAATGATTTTAGTATTCCCGGTGGGTAGGTGAGTAGATGGATGGATGAAGGGTAGTTTGGTGAGGGGGAGCAGAGGACTAACAGACCATTTATGAGGGAGATCATGCTCATACTGATCAACTCTGCAAATAAGCATCACATTTAGCCACAAGTACCAATATCCAGAAGACAGTGGGGCAGAGGCAGGTGGGTGCTTTCGGTTCTCATAAATGCAGCCTGTTTAGGAAGGACAGACTGGAGTGCTGGCCTCCACTTAACCTCCGATTAAACCCAGGGTCAGAGCCAATCGGAACAAGCCAGGATTTATAACCCATCTAAGGGGGTAGTTTGACACCTGCTGTAATCAGGAGAGCTGTCACTACAAGGACAGCTGTCAGGCCAAACTCACTTATAAAAGTGGATGGATAAGCCTGAAAAGCAGCTCCTGCCTTACTGTCCTCACTTTGTGGGATTTAACCATTTTGGTAAGGCTGCAAGAAAAAGGAAGGCCATGGAAAGGAGATCCTGCACTCAAAGCCAGGAGGAGACCATTTTACTCACATTCCTGTATGTCTTTGCTGGACCATTAGCAGGAATCATAATGGTAGTGAAGTTTATCAGTAAATTTTAGGTCTGATTAATTTTAATTGATCAACGACTCAAGTCAAATTAATTTATTATATTAGCCAGGTATTTTAAAGCCTCAGCTAACTTATTAGAAGTGCTAGGGAATGGGAAATGAAGAGAAAAACATTTCACAGGCTGGGTTCAGTGATGTGCAGACTGTGATGCTGCTGAGGGGACGACATATAGAGCTGGAGTGGACCTATGTGGCAAGGATCCCAGGCAGCATTCCTACCGATCAGTTATAGCAAGGAAGGATGAGAGAATCCCCAAATGGAGGGGGAAGAGGTGACAGGAGGAATAAACACTGAGTCAATAAAGTGGCCAAAGGTAAAATGTGTGTCACACTTGAAAGTACTTTTTCTTTCAGCGTTACAAGTTAAAATATGACTCTCAAGTTACACATAGAGTGGCTTTTACTCAAAGGGACACCAGCACCTCAATCACACAGCCAGCTGAAATTCGTTTACCCACCGTTGTTACTGTAACTTCAACAAAGAGGAAAGAAAAATCTCCCCGCCTTTTTTCCAATTACGATGTACCTCTGAGGGCATTTTGTGCACAGTCATTTTCACTGTTTCTCTGACAGCATCTTCCTTTGTGTGTGGGTGGGTGTTTCCGAAAGCAAGAGGAAAACTGTGATTATAAATTAACAAAACTGGCAGACCGATGCTGGGACATGAAGAAACTGAAACCAGGTTAGTTTTGTTTTTCTTTTGCAAACAACCAGATTGCAGGTTGACCCTTTAATTCAATCCCCAGCCATTGTGACCAAAAGTCTGAGAACAAATAGTCTGCATACATGTAATACAATTTTCATTTACTGCTTCAGACAGATTATCACTGGATAGTTCAATCATACTAAAAAAAAAAAAAATTACCATTCAACTGGGCAAAAAACCTGTGATTAGTTCAGGCACCTTAGCTGGGTACATGGGGTAGCATGAGGATCCTCCCCTTTAGAAGAGACACTGCATGGAAGCGACTCCAGCCATGGTGGGAGAATTTTGCCCTCAGTAAGGAAAATGGAAACATTTGAATGAGAAAAGACAAAACACAATGTGGTGCTGAAAGGCATTATTTTGACATCATAAGCACCACCGTCTCCTGCAGCAAACAATGAGATATTTCAGTCAGAAAGACTGAATGTCTGAAATTAAAGGAACAATGACCCAAACATGAGAGAAATGCTGAGAAAAGTCGCATGTTGCTTTACAAAATAAACCAGAGGTCCAGATGCCCGGAAGTTGCATACGTTTAGATCCAGAGGCAAACACTGCATCTCAGGCTGACCTCCACAAAGTAATTTTGCCAACCTGCTAATGTTATTGCAGCATGAGATGGAGAGAAGAGGCACAAAACGTGACAAGACTGACCACATGAGAGTATAAAATAATGGGAAATTACTTAACTTAGGGAAACATTCTAGTATATTTGTCAATCTTTGTTGCATTTCCCTTGCGCAACAGCTCTGTTTCTATAATTTTAGTCACTTTGATTTTTCTCTTGTACATATAACAATCTTCAGTTAAAAAAGATTACTGCAGAAGATTTACTTTAAAACCTTCAGTTTTCATAACTCAAGTCAAGTTAATTAGTTTAGCTGTAGGAGAGACAATTCTATAATTTCAAGAGATGTAAGAAACTGCTTGTTTGGCCAAGTGAAGTATCTGTTCAGTTGCTGCTGCTGGTGTAAGCTAGACATGTATTTTGTACGGTTAAAGTACAGGACATGTCAGTCTGCAAAAACTGTCCTGGGATAAATCCTAAAAAAAAGTTTCCCAGATGAGATGTAGTAACAGTTTATCCTAGGATATTACAGTATGTATCTATACAGTTATCCCAGGACTGCACCATTAATAGCAGAAAAGCAGCATTTCATTCAGTCACTCACTAAATGTGTGTACATGCCAATCCTGGACAAACACAGGCCTGACTTATCCAGGGACAAATAACGCAATGTCTATTCCTGGCCTATCATACAGTTCCCCCCACACACTACTTCTAACAGGTCGAACTTCAACCGTTCTGGTAAGCGAGGACATTCCTGTGTATAGCTCAGAGTATCCTGTACACAAAGCTGTACTGCAAACTGCTTTATATAGAAAGGGAATTATTATCTAAAGGGAAAAGTTCAGAAAATAAAGAAAAGTCAGTAAACACATGAAAGACGACAACCAAGGCCCTCTAGGGGAGGACAAGAAACAATGGGCACAAACTGATTGAAGATTGCTTCAGACTGGACATAAGGAAAAAGAGGTAAGGTCCCTTCCAGCCCCTAACATCTATGAAACTATGATACTCTGGACATTAGTAGACAGAACAGCCCATTTGAAGAGAGATTGTTTTGGCAAAGTTCAGATAGGTGTGAGAGGATGGTAAAGGTTAGGGATGATGGGGCATTCTTCATCATACCTCAGGGGTGTGGTCAGCCTACATGTTAGCATGAGAGATTCCCAAGGTCACTTGCTATAACCTCTGCACACTGCTTTCCCACTGGACTCTTGGAGTTAGCTGGCCTTGCTAATGCAGCTCCAGTTTCTGGACAGCTCCCTGCTTCTACTGACATTGTTTTTCTGTCAGTCTATTTATTCAGTCTGCAAATTCACGTAGTCAGTAGGGAACAAACTCAAACCCAACTTACCATAATGCAGTGCTGTCTGGCCTTCATTATCCTGAAAAACAAGCACATCTAGTTTTAGAGTGGCATACAGGTTTTAAGGACAAAAGTAAATTCTAGTTTTAAATAAACAACTTGACTCAGAACAGTTTACTAAATAACTAGATAAACAGCACAAAACAGTATGCTACACAGTAGTCAGATTTTCCTGAATGTATCTGTTATAGGCTCAGGAAGCAGTGAATGTACCTCAATACGTCCTAAGAATGCCTGCGCTACATCACAGGTGTCAGTGCAACTGAGTTCACAGCATCGCCATTCCCAAGCACACCAAAATCAATGATTTGAGTCCTACAGCCACACACTGGTCTCTAGCCAGGTCTGCAACAGCAACATGACACTGGAATGAGGTGGGGTGCATTACAAGAGGTGCTCTCCAGACAAGACCTTCAGTAGCTACTTCAGGAGAGGCAGAACTCCCAGACAATATTTCAGAATTACTAAGGGTAGCCTCAGCATTCAAAAGACTATTTCTTCTCCCAGTAAAACAGGCTCTAATATCAACTATTACATGTGTGTAGCTCTTGTAGCCTCAGAACTGTTCATAATGAAAGGTAAAATTTTCAAAATAACCAAAACGATGTAGGACCTTTTCCTGTGGTTCAAGCACTTCTGAAAACTGTGGAATAAATAAAAAAACAATGCCCCAGACATGAAGGAACATGTTGGGAAGGATCACACTTTGTTTTTCTAAATAAATCCTATGTCTGAGCACCCTGCAATTTTGTAAATTTAGATTTAGATTCGAACCTTTGCATCTTGAGCTAATTTCTACAAGGTAATTATGCCAACCTGCTAATGCCACTGCAGTATAAGCATGAAGGGAAAGACACAAATATGACAGGCATGTCAAGTTACTGATTGCTCTGATATGAAGTGCTCTGAGATATCTGTGGTATAAATAATAAAAATAAATTCTATTGCAGTGCTTTAAGGAGTTAATGTGTGATTTTACCCCCATAAGCAAACCTGTGCTCTATTTCAGTCACATTCTATGGGTTCAGTCCTACCCTGTACTGGACTGTGTAAGAGGAAGGGGGAAAGGTATAAGCAGTCTCTTTGCTTTGAACAAGAAAGGAAGGCAGGATCCCTCCTTAGTGCATTTAAAGCAGTAGGAAGCATATTGATTTATTACACCAGCCCAGGCAGCACACTCCAAAGGAACCCAGCCAGCAGGTTGGGAGGAACATACGGTACTCTAATCTGACAAGCACAAATGCTGCTATCAGAAGCAAGTACTTGCCAACAGGAGGTGATGTGTTACTCCTGCTAGAAAGAGCAGCAACAAACACGACAAGGTGCTGGATCCTGAATGGCAGATTTTGTGTGGCAAAATCACACTAAATGATAGAAGGAAGAACTAGCTTGTCCTTTGCTTTACATTGCAGTGGCAGATTTTGGCTTTATGAAACTCCCTCCTTCCCTCATCAATTGGCCGATTTAATATTAATTTGGTCAATTTTTAATTATCATCTTCTTTGGGATTAAATTAAGTTCTACAGACTGCCATGACCCCTGAAACAAAAGGGGTGGGGGGGGTGGGGGGGAAGAGAGTTGTAAAACAGGTAGAAAACATGTCTGCAGATTTGTGGTTTCCAAGCTTTGGTTAACAGAACATACACTGTTCAGTATTTAACCTTTTTCAATCCAACTGACTAGGAACTGCATTTTAAAAGATTCATTTTAAAGCTGCATTTTAAAAGATTCTAGGCACCTAATATTTGTGTACCAGAAACAATATTGCTGAAGCTTCGCCATGGGATAGGGCCTTCCTTTTCCTTAGTAAGTGAAAATTTCTGGCTAGGATTTGTAAATTGATATCTAAGTAGATACCACAAACCAAACAAGAGGGAATCAAGAACAGCAATAATTGATAATTCAACACGAATAAGACATCAGATCAGATCCAGAGCCACAGCATAGTTCCCAAGCGCATGCTTGCCTTGAAAACTACAGCTACAAAGACAGCACTGACTTCAGCAAGAGACTGAAAATGGCTGGCGCTGGAGAGGCAGGTACAGTACACATGAATTATTGGAAAGGCAGAATTTAAAATATGCAGATTGCGCGCGTGTTGGAGGAGGGGATGTGGATTCCATCCTGCATTTTTCCTTTTTAAATTGTAATAGAACGAAAAAGAAGAGAACTGAAGATTCATAATAAGCATCCTAGAAGGGCAGGTATAAATAATCTTAGCCTCAAAACTGCAGTACACGTCCCATTCTTACAGAAATTCTATATATATTTTTGTTCTTGTTCCAAAGATTTATATAAATGTAGCTCCAAGTACTCATATAATCAAATACTCATTCATGAGCTTCATGCAAAATCTATATGCTAAAGACACACATTTCTGATATTTAATACTCTCAGAATTAAGTTTAAGTCCCAGGATAAGACAGGCTTTTCATTTCATAAGAATTAGAAACAAGTTATGTTACTGTTTGCACTTTGATTTTTCCTGTCACCTGAATGCTAGATGGAAGCTAGTCCAGGGCTACATTGTTTAGATGTTATGCTTCTTATTTCTGCTTATCCCATGACAAATTTTAAATTGAGCTAAACCAAAAAGCTCAAGTTGTAGCCATTCACTAATGGCCCTGAAATGGTCTGATGGGGCTGCTGCTCCCAATATCTTTTTTGATTTGGAGCACCATGGCTAATACAACACTTGTGTCCAGTTGCTGTGCATTGGACAGGCATAGTGCTTGACTCAAGAATGATACAGTGACCCTGATGCTTCAATTTAAGAAGTTCCCACCTGAAACCTAATTAGAAATATGGCATGCACATAAGCATCACAGCTCCAGTTGTGGAAATTACATGACATAACTGCCACACAATTCTTACAGTTATCCTGAAACTCTCATTGCTTTACAATGAAACACAAGGTACAGAAGCATTCTTAAAGAAGACACTAGCATGCCTTCATACAGAAATTTAAACATTTTTCCAGTAGTGGGGCCACATCTCAATCTTCTGTTATGTGCAAGCACAAAGAAGTCATTAGATAATCAGTGTAATAATACAAATATAAACTGTGCTGCTTGTCTCCTGCCGTGATGTCAGTGCTAGAACCTGCTCTCTCCATTTATACACCCAACACAATGTCCAAGGAAACAGCAGCTCCAATTCTCTTCAGATTCCTCTGGACCCTGCACAGGGTCAACAATGACCTCCCAAAGAAATAGGAGCAGAGAGTTTGGTTTCGAGGAGTGGTGCTCAACACTTTTGCCCAGCAAGCCAAATGGGCACTATCTAGTTTGTCTGTGAGCCAGAACTGACCAGTGGTCCCAAGCCAGCACCCAGGGGGCCACGTGGAGGAAAGGGGTGTGTGGCCCATCCCCGATTTGGTTGTATGGGGGGAGAGGGCACAGCCTGGCCCCAATCCAGCCGTACAGCACTTAGGAATCTGGCAGCAGGGAAGTGGCAGTATTAGTAGCCACTGCTCCCCTGCCACCAAATCTCCCAACCCTTGGGGAGCCCCATGGGCCAGATGCCATGCCTCTGCAGGCATCTGGGTTAAGCACCCCTGGTTTAGGCTCAATCCAAAAGTTTTTATCCATCATGCTTCCTGGGGCTCTAATAGCTACTGTGCCTAGTAAGCTACAATCTCTTCAAGTGCTTTCTTGAGGTAGAAGGGCCTCAATATACCCATATTTCTGGCCCTGGATAAAGGTAAAAAAAATAGCCCAAACTGCTTTTGAATCACCAGCCATTTAGCAATCCCCTCTGTGAACTCTGCTAATAACTTTTAAAAACTTCTGCAGTTACGATTCGTTGGGGTATTTTTTGCTTGCAGAATTTCCAGAAAAGGGACCTAAGGAACTCCAGATTGGCTTCCAAAAATATTTGAACATCTGTAACCAAACAAAGCTGAATAGAAAGGGTGTGCAAGTGAAATATTTTGCTTATTTGGTTTGAAACAAGACCAGTTAATTTTCCCCCATTTCAGCTGATTAGAATTTTGGTTGGTTGATTTTACAAAATGACTGAGCCAGAGGAGGGGTGTGGGTCATGGATATTTATACTCCATTCTTTGCACTTTATCTCAAAGGATTTCCTATATTTAATTCACATGCAACCATAACTAAGAACAAGGCCTAGCATTTACTGTTGTATGCTGAAACTAATCCATGGAAAGCTGCCTGATCACATGGCACTGATGCCCATTATTTCTATCTGTTAAAGAGCATTAAAAGAGCTAAAAATATATAGCTTTCCTAATATTCATTCTCCTTGTAAGCAACTGTTGCCACCAGTATATTACATGAATACAAACTGAAGGGGGGATGACCCAGACAATCCCAAAAGGGAGGGGAAATGGTATGCGTGATTGCACAACGGAAAGGTGATGGATGGTCCATGAGACATCCACTGTTCAGTTGAGGCCACCCCGCTATGATATCTTTGAGAACTTCTAACTACCTCATTATATAATGTTTTAGTGGAGTAAAGGGAACATCTGAAAGACATAAATGTATACAACAAAGTAATGTTACATACAAAAGGGGGAAAAATAAAATAAGTTATTATTTAGCGCTCCTTTGCATCTTTGCTAGGTTTTCAAAACACCACACCCTGGAGAACAATGTCACCACTTTACGGATAGGGAAATGAGAGACAGATTGAGTTACTGCGCTCAAGTTAATCAATGACATGGCCCATAAAGGAACATGAGAAAAACAGGAAAACTGCAGAAATGAATTAAAAAACCTTGCACCAAAGTATAAGAGAAAACCAATGATTTTGGAACTGCCCCCAACTTCTTCATATATGAGTTACTGAAAACATTATGTTCAATTCCAAGCTTTCACCTGCACTACTTAACATCATGTCTAACACTGAGAATCCACATGACACATTTTACAACCTCTTGTTGCATTTAGTCATGGCAGCTTGAGAGCTATGGCTGCATGCACTTGAAGGGAGATAAAAACATTTCATTCTAGTAAAACTATGCATTATAACAACAATAAACCATGCTGTCTATAT